AGACCACGCCGCTGGGGATGGGGATCGGTTAAACGATACTCAGATGGCTTCGGATTCCGATTCGATTCGGCTGCGCATTCCGACTTGGCGCCCCGACCGCGTACTGGAGCCTCCTCTATATGCCTTGCCTAGTTCCGCCGATTCGATTCAGTGCGATCGCCGACCCGACTTGTCCATTCGATTTTGGGCCCTCCTGGGCTCGAGGAGAGCGGGGCGGCCGGTCCGCACCCTGCGCTCGCCAATCCACGATGCAGGCAATTCGAGGAGCGGCGGGGGCAGGTTTCGGACTTCGGCGGGCACATGGCGAGATCCGGCCCTTGGCCCCGCCTCGCATGGATTCATGAGAATCGATGGTTGGTGGGGGTAGGGTCCCGGATGTCGCCACCCAGCTAGTCTCGAAGAAGAAACATTGCATAAGCATAAACGCTTGGAGCTCCGCGCGGATTTCTTGGATCTGCGCTGGGCCCCCCCATCCTGGTGCGCGGAGCGTGCCGGAGGCGCCGCTTCCCTTGGATGCATGAGAACCAATAGATGGTGGGGAGAGGGATCAAACCTCCCACGTGTGGAAGAGATCTTCGCGGAGGTTTTCCTTTTGTCTCGGCCTCTAGAGGGGCCTTCGCCAGGCACCGGGGCCGTCAAACAATTGTTCGAGGTGCAAAACCAGCCCTGGAGAAAGTGTCGGGACTTCCAGGGACCCCGCATTCAAACCATCGAACATCGGATCTCTGGGGCCTGCTGGGAGGCCCAGGCTTCCAAAGTGGGTTCGGAGTGGATGGGGTCGAAAGATCGCGCTGCATTGCCGATGCATCGGCAATGCGAGTCGATGGGGAGCAAGATCCACGCCGACAGCGCCGATGCATCGGCGATGCATCGGCGATGCGGCGCGACCCTCTGGCCTCATCAACTCGGACCCCATTCGGGGGGGCCTCTACTTTGGGCCCGCTGGGGGGGGGGCCCGAGGTCATCAGAAGTCCACTCGGGATGAAAAGCCAGCCCGGGGGAAGGGGTCGAACGGCTAGGGTGGCCAGGTCTCGAAAGAGTCGCGCCGCCAAATCTCTGGGTTTCCGCCCCGCAGCCGCCTGCGAGCCCTGATTACGGCAGGTTCGTGTCGTGAAGACGTCACGTTTCCAGACCCCTTTGACGTCGAGAACAAACAATGGCAGAACACATTTGACAGTTTTCGGTCCATTGGCTGTGGGGCCGTTACTGGGCCCCGGGACCGTGGAGCAACGGCTCGGGATGAAAAGCCGTTCCCGCGGGGAGGGATCAAGATCCCCATGTGGTCCATGGCGCCATGAAATCGCGCCGTGGGGGGTCTGGGCCAGCGTTGGGCGTTGGTTTCTGACACCGCGTGTATCGTTCAACCTTGCACGATCGCGGCTTTCCTATCGCGTGGATCGTTAGATGTCGCGCGATTATGGGCCCGCGCTTGCGGCGTTCAACCTTGAGCGCACACGGCGGGTCCCCTCCGCGTCAACGCGGCTCGAACTTGCTGTAATTACCCCTGCGGTCCAAGCGACGCTGAGGTATCCGCCATCTCTTTAGGGATATGTGTTTCCTTTTTTAGCCACCGAGAGGCTTCTCATCGCCACAGCTCGATTCTCCGAAGTCCTGGTCGAAACTCACCCCAAGAGAGCTCTTGGACTAGTCTTCCATGAGTACCATGAAGAAAACCGACTCCCAGGGGACCAGAGATTTTCCGCCGTTTCTTACGTCCTAGGTCCTTGGAAGAGCACTGGGACCGTCAACATAACTTGTGAGCATGGAATAGATGTCCCAGGGAAGCCATGGGAGTCCAGCATCTGGCTTTCCTTCAGGACCCATTACTTCATGACAAATGCGGGCCGTTCTTGTGGCTGCAGACATCCTTTGAAGTCTGAGCTTGCCGCGGTGCTTCGGAACGTCTGACCTGCATGAGGAGGGATCGCACGTGGTTGCCTACGAGCGGAACGAGCGTCTGCACTCTCTATATGCGGCCCACGCACCCAGTCCTCAGATGCTCGTTTTGGGTGACCTTGGGGCCACCTATCGAACCTGTTCGATTCTAGTTTGACTCTAGTTCGACTCTACTACGACTCGAGTTCGGCTCAAGTTTGACTAAGGTCGACGGACATTCAACGCAGCATCGACGGATGAGTGGAGCGATGGGCTCCAAGAGAGTCCCCAGAGCGAGCATCGAGCAACCCGAGCTGCTGTGCGCTCGATTTGGGTTGCCTTTGAAGTAGGCTGCGCAGCTCTGTACCTCGTGAACGAGCGCTGAGGCCCAGCGCGATACAGCACCTCGAGGGAAGAAACACGACGACCATGACCAAGATGCTGGGGCACTTGTCGACGCCGATCTTGATCATTGTCCCTGCCGGCCGTCGCCGATTCGCGAGGATCCACGATCTCCCGATGTCCAAGATCGACGATGACCAATATCCACACCCACGCTTCCACGTTCAGTCTTGGTCACGGTCCTCGCGTTGTTTCCCTTCGGCATCGAGGTGTGGCATTAGGATCGGCCGGGGAACCTATCGCACCAGGTGGGGAGTGTAACAGTGAATATTGGCAGGTCTCATGTTGGAGCCGGCTTAGGCCCAGCACTGATTCAGGCCAGCAGGAGGGATGGAGGGAGAGGCCTTCTCGTCGCCACGGCTGGACGCGGCTCGGGACACTTTGTCAGTTTCGACGTTGGGAGAGATCTGGAGACCGATTCTGAGCCGATTTCCCTTTGGGACCCCCCGTCTTGATCGATTTACTCGCGCGCAGACCCCCGTCCTCTGCAGAGTCCAATCAGTTGAGGTCGGCTATGATTGTTCCGCGACTCGGAGCTGGGTGTTGGACAGTCCGTGCCACATTCGAATAGCCCTCCCTTCCTCCTCCTTCTCCTCCTCCATCTCCTCCTCCTCCTCCTCCTCCTCCTCCTCCTCCTCCTCCTCCTCCTCCTCCTCCTCCTCCTCCTCCTCCTCCTCCTCCTCCTCCCTCCCATCATCCTTCTCGTCCTGCCCTCAGAGCTAAAGATCTCAAGCATTGAGGCAAGGTTGAGCAAGGCCGTGCGACGCTCTCCGCGGTCTGTTGCTGGCCGCCTCTACGGCGTCTTCGCGCGCGACAGCCTCATGCGATAGCCAACTCGATGTTCCTCCTCTCTTTCCCTCGTATTCAAGTGGCTAACGTTATTCCGCCGACCCCCCAGAAGGAGCGAGTGCTTGCGACGTTCATCGAAGTTATCTGGTGCGTCAGGACATTCTTGGATACATTCGAGGGGCTAGTGGGATGCCCCACCCCCTCCCCTTCTAATCCAATATTGGACCCCTGGGGAAGGGGGAAAGGGGGAGGGGGGCAGCCAAATGTCTCACACGCTTTCCTACCCCCAGCAAGCGGAGGTCGGCGGATGACAGGAAGCGTCTTCGAGGTACGAGAAGCGAGTTGGACATTGTGGCGGAATCTACAGCGTACCCAATTATCTCTTACTAATGGAGGGTGGTGGGGTGCACGGCGCCATTCGTTAGCGGATCCCCCAAAACAGCGATTTCGCTTGAGAAATCTTCACACGATTGAGATCTTCGCGACGTTGCGTTCAACACAAAGAAGCGTTTCGTCCGAAACAACCTCGAACAATCGAGACCCGCGAAATTCCTTAATAGGTGAAACAGCTGCATTTCGCTTGAGACATCTTGGCCGACATGAGATGTCGACGGAGGTGTATCACTACCTATTAACCCGAGTAAGCGATTAAGGACCCCCCCCCTCTCCGGTGAAAGGATAACGCGCCCGGCACCCGGAAGCGTTATCCTGGCACCAGGAGGGGGTACACCAGATCGTATTCGTATTTTTATTATCATTACAATTCTAATTGGGATGCGACCCGAGGCGGGGCGCTGGAATTATTTTTTTTCCTTCCATTTGCGCGGTGCTAGTAATATCGCTCGGCGAAAACCCCCCCAAATAATTATTTAATTACGGCGCGGTGCTAATGATAACGCCGGGGGGTTCCTTAATTGCTTCTCCGGGTTATGTTGAACACTACGTTTTCGCTGGGGACATCCGCAGAAAATGAGCGGCAGCACGGCGGACCAGCAAAAAGAGTACGGCGGACCATGTGCATTTTGTTGGGGGAGTGTTCAAACGATTGAGATGGTATTAACAGTATATTGACATTGTTCTTGAAGTGATTCAAGATGGAGAAATAGGAGCCCAATCAGGACTGCATTATGGCTCCAAGAGCGCCCTGATGACTGCCGAACATGACGATTTCGCTAGGGGCACCCTCAAACAATGAACACAACCAGCATCATCGTGTTGCGCACTGATGTTCGATCATCGTCTTGGGATCGCTCTTGACAAGGCATCCAGCTGGCCCAAGCCAGGCTTCTAAAAATGACGAGTTCGCTATAGACACCTTCGAACGAAAGATGTGTGATACATGACATTGGCATCGTCTTTGGTTGCATCGAAGCGGCCCCGAACACGCCCCAAATGAGCCCCAATATGACCCCAAGAGTGCCCTCGATATTCCTCAACCTGCACATTGCTCTCGGCACATCCTAAACACATGAGTTGTTCGCAACACCGTCTTTCACAAAAACAAGCATTTCGCCCGAGACATCCACCATAATATGCACACCGCGAATGTTACAAACGTATGGCCATGGGGATATCGCCTGAGACATCCTCGAACTCATGAGGTGTTGTAAAAAAGGCTTATTGAAGACCATGCATGTTAACACTTAGCTGTTCGCCTGATGCATCTTCGGAACATAGACAGGACCGCGGCAGCCCAACACGCATAAGCACGGCAGAACGCGCGAGAGCACGGCAGAACATACAGGAGCACGGCAGAACACCCAGGAGCATCCGTAGCCATTTTGGCTCAAGGCCATGGAGAACCCGACGACCGCGAGTCGTTCGCGGTGCTCTGAGCGCGAGGGTTTCCGCGCTTTGGGCCAGTGCAATTCGAGAGTGCGCTCCCTGCTTTCTCGGCGCGGAGGCGCAGCCCCGCGGCCTGCGCGGCAGCGGCCATGGCGAGGTCCCCGTGCAGTGGCGGCAGCGGCAGGCGCAGCAGGTCCTACTGGATGTGCAGCTGCGGCGAGTGGAACTGGGACTGGCGCACCTCTTGCCTGGGCTGCGGGCATGCGGCCCCGCCATGGGCGACGGGGGCGCCCCCGCCCAAGGCGCGGCCCAAGGCTGACAAGGACGGCTGGGTGGATCAGCCACGTGGGCGCCGTGCCCAGAGGCAGGCCCGCGGAGCGGCCTCGCGGGCAGCATCCACCAAGTCGCAGACCTCGGCCTCGGCTGCAAGTGGGACGCCCAGCGGTGGAGGCGCCACGGCGATCGAGAGGCTCCAGGCGGCCGTCGAGCAGCTCGAGGCGCTGCAGGCAGAGCCCCCAGACGGAGTGGATGGCTGCTTCACCGACGTCGTGGCCAGCCAGCTGGAGGCGAAGCGCGCGGAGCTGGTCAAGGCCCAAAAGGTTGCAGCGGAACAGGAGGCCTCGTCCATGCCACGGGCGACGCGGCTCCACAGGGAGGCGAACGCCATCAGCAAGGGCGAGAAGCGGCTCCGGGCAGCCCGCCTGGAGCTCGAGCAGAAGCAGGAGGCGCGCGACCTCGTCGAGGCCCAGCTCCACCAGGCCCAGGAGAAGCTCGCGGAGCTCGACGAGGAGGTGGAGGAGGCGAGCCCGCCGCTCCAGGCGCTCGAAGAAGCAGCCCGCGAGGGAGCCGAGGCGATGCGCCGCCAGCGCGCAGCCGAGTGGACAGGGGCCAGCCAGGTACCAGGGCTCCTCATGCAGCTGGAGAAGTTGCCAGAGGCGTGGAGCACCATCAACTTCGAGGTGGCCTGGGCGGCCATTCGCGCCCAGATGGAGGCAGTGCGGGCGCAGCTCGAGGGGGCGCCATTGGCCTCCAAGCGCACGCCGTGGGCCGAGTCCTGCCCCATGGAGGAGATCAGCAGCAACGTCGGCGGTCTCGCAGACTGCGGCGGCGTCTGGCAGCCCCAGCCAGCAGCGGAGCGAGGCCAAGCCGAGCGGCGCGGCAAGGCGCTGGGCGAGTGGCCAACGGTGGCCCAGGCGTGCAAGCGCGAGCTGGCGGCAGAGGCAGCGGACCTGGCTCCCCTGGCTGCTCATCCTGCTGGCAAGGCCGCTGGGGACCGCCTCGGAGGGGCGCAGCCAGGGCCAGCGAGTGCATAGCGAGGCCTGTGCGGCGGTCCTGTGCCTGCGTGGGAACAGCACCGAGGTCGTCGAGAGCGGCTGGGCGGGGCTCCGCGGCATGGGCGCCCTCGTCTCGCCCTGGGACCAGGAACGCGCTGCAGGGCCCAGCGGTGTCCGCATCCTCCTGAGCACTGGAGAAAACGTAATTGGGGGCACCGAGTTCGGCGCCAGCGAGTGGATCGAGCCCGTGGGCAGAGCAGGGGTACCTGAACCTCCTGAGGCGATGGCCAGGAGAGCGGGTCCGCAGCTGCCTACCGTGCAGCCACTCAGAGCGCGAGCTCAGAGACGTGAAGAGGCGGCGGCCAGGGGCGGGGCAGCCGCCACAGGCGTGAGCCATACCTCGGCCGTCCGCGATGCGGCGCAGGCCCAGTGGATCGGCAACTGGCACCTCGAGTCGGAGAGGCACGCGGTCATGGACCGCGGCGGCACGTCCAACCCCATGTTCCTCGAGCCGCGGCCGTGGCCAGGAGCCGAGGAGAACGCGACGCAGCGGCGAGCACGAGGAGGAGGTGGCGGCGAACTCGACAGCGAGCGGCACGTCAATGGCTGGGCCGCGCGCAGCGGAGGGCCCCTTCCTGCCGAGGGGAACAACCTTGTGACTTCAGCGGCGGCATCGGAGGCCCTGCAGGCGGGGGAGGTCCGCGGCGGCGGCGCCCCAGCTGCGCGGGCCCGCCTGGAGGACAGCCGCTCGACGGGGGGCAGCGCGGCAGCCCTCTCGGCCACCGCCGTCGCGTTCAGCGCCCTGGGGCACGTGCCCAGCTACGCCTGCGCGGGCGAAGGAGAGGATACCCAGGAGATCGTGGCGTGCACCAAGCGCGGCGCCTACAAGGTGCTGGGCGGACACGCAGGAGGCAGGTCCCGCCTGAAGATGCAATGCCCAGGGCCCAGCAACCTGACCAACAAGTCGAGGGGCCAGCGCAGCCTGCGGGAGCGAGGGCCCCACCCTGGTGGCAGGCCTCGGGAGGACAGGCAGAGGGCGAGAGCAGAGGGCACCCCTGCCTTGCGCTCGCATGGACCAGTGCCAGGTCACGCCCAGGAACGGTACCTGGAGTGGGCCGGCATGGAGGCGGAGCCGGCTGGCGGAGCCCCCATCGCGGCCAGCAGCTCGGGCAGCGGCCCGGCGGCTCCAGCGGCAGGGCGGCGTGTAGTTGAGTCGGCGGCGGCCAGCCTGCCCCAGTAGTGGCCAGGGCCGTGCGCTGGCCCCCCCGGCGCAGGCGGCGCCGTCGTGGGGGGGCCCGCCGCCGCGGAGCCAGCGCCCAGCGACGGACTGGTGGGCCGTAGGGTCTGCCGCCGCCTGGCACGCCACACACTCCCGCTGTCTGCCCGCGTCTGTTGCTCCTGTGTGAGTAGGCACGCGAGGCTCGCTTGCTTGGGACTCGGCGTCTCTCGGGAGCTTTGGCCCCACCTGGCCCTGCCCCCGTTTTCCTTTTTGTCGCCTTAAGGCCCCGGCTATAACACCCAGGGGCATGGCATAACCCAAAGAACACACGGGAACATGGCTGAACAAACAGGAGCACAGCAGAACACACAGGTGCACGACAGACCACACAGGAGCACGAGGAGCACGGCCGAACACACGCACACACACACACACACACACACACACACACACACACGCACACACACACACAGTACATAGGAGCACGGCAGGGCACGGCAGAGCAAGCAAGAGCGCGGCAGAACACGCAGGAGCATGGCAGGATACACAGGAGCACGAACACAAAAAAAAACACATAGGAGCACGAAGCAGGAGCGCGGCAGAACACACAGGAGCGCGGCACTACACACAGGAGCCTCCGTAGCCATTTTGGCTCAAGGCCATGGAGAACCCGACAACCGCGAGTCGTTCGCGGCGCTCTGAGCGCGAGGGTCTCCGCGCTTCGGGCCAGTGCAATTCGAGAGTGTGCTCCCTGCTTTCTCGGCGCGGAGGCGCAGCCCCGCGGCCTGCGCGGCAGTGGCCATGGCGAGGTCCCCGTGCAGTGGCGGCAGCGGCAGGCGCAGCAGGTCCTACTGGATGTGCAGCTGCGGCGAGTGGAACTGGGACTGGCGCACCTCTTGCCTGGGCTGCGGGCATGCGGCCCCGCCATGGGCGACGGGGGCGCCCCCGCCCAAGGCGTGGCCCAAGGCTGACAAGGACGGCTGGGCGGATCAGCCACGTGGGCGCCGTGCCCAGAGGCAGGCCCGCGGAGCGGCCTCGCGGGCAGCACCCACCAAGTCGCAGACCTCGGGCTCGGCTACAAGTGGGACGCCCAGCGGTGGAGGCGCCACGGCGATCGAGAGGCTCCAGGCGGCCGTCGAGCAGCTCGAGGCGCTGCAGGCAGAGCCCCCAGACGGAGTGGATGGCTGCTTCACCGACGTCGTGGCCAGCCAGCTGGAGGCGAAGCGCGCGGAGCTGGTCAAGGCCCAAAAGGCTGCAGCGGAACAGAAGGCCTCGCCCATGCCGCGGGCGACGCGGCTCCACAGGGAGGCGAACGCCATCAGCAAGGGCGAGAAGCGGCTCCGGGCAGCCCGCCTGGAGCTCGAGCAGAAGCAGGAGGCGCGCGACCTCGTCGAGGCCCAGCTCCACCAGGCCCAGGAAAAGCTCGCGGAGCTCGACGAGGAGGTGGAGGAGGCGAGCCTGGCGCTCCAGGCGCTCGAAGAAGCAGCCCGCGAGGAAGCCGGGGCGATGCGCCGCCAGCGCGCAGCCGAGTGGACAGGAGCCAGCCAGGTACCAGGGCCCCTCATGCAGCTGGAGAAGTTGCCAGAGGCGTGGAGCACCATCAACTTCGAGGTGGCCTGGGCGGCCATTCGCGCCCAGATGGAGGCAGTGCGGGCGCAGCTCGAGGGGGCCCCATTGGCCTCCAAGCGCACGCCGTGGGCCGAGTCCTGCCCCATGGAGGAGATCAGCAGCAACGTTGGCGGTCTCGCAGACTGCGGCGGCGTCTGGCAGCCCCAGCCAGCAGCGGAGCGAGGCCAAGCCGAGCGGCGCGGCAAGGCGCTGGGCGAGTGGCCAACGGTGGCCCAGGCGTGCAAGCGCGAGCTGGCGGCAGAGGCAGCGGACCTGGCTCCCCTGGCTGCTCATCCTGCTGGCAAGGCCGCTGGGAACCGCCTCGGAGGGGCACAGCCAGGGCCAGCGAGTGCATAGCGAGGCCTGTGCGGCGGTCCTGTGCCTGCGTGGGAACAGCACCGAGGTCGTCGAGAGCGGCTGGGCGGGGCTCCGCGGCATGGGCGCCCTCGTCCCGCCCTGGGGCCAGGAACGCGCTGCAGGGCCCAGCGGTACCCGCATCCTCCTGAGCACTGGAGAAAACGTAGTTGGGGGCATCGAGTTCGGCGCTGGCGGGTGGATCGAGCCCGTGGGCAGAGCAGGGGTGCCTGAACCTCCTGAGGCGATGGCCAAGAGAGCGGGTCCGCAGCTGCCTACCGTGCAGCCACTCAGGGCGCGAGCTCAGAGACGTGAAGAGGCGGCGGCCAGGGGCGGGGCAGCCGCCACAGGCGTGAGCCGTACCTCGGCCGTCCGCGATGTGGCGCAGGCCCAGTGGATCGGCAACTGGCACCTCGAGTCGGAGAGGTACGCGGTCGTGGACCTCGGCGGCACGTCCAACCCCATGTTCCTCGAGCCGCGGCCGCGGCCAGGAGTCGAGGAGAACGCGACGCAGCGGCGAGCACGAGGAGGAGGTGACGGCGAACTCGACAGCGAGCGGTACGTCAATGGCTGGGCCGCGAGCAGCGGAGGGGTCCTTCCTGCCGAGGGGAACAACCTTGTGACTTCAGCGGCGGCATCGGAGGCCCTGCAGGCGGGGGGGGTCCGCGGCGGCGGCGCCCCAGCTGCGCGGGCCCGCCTGGAGGACAGCCGCTCGACGGGGGGCAGCGCGGCAGCCCTCTCGGCCACCGCCGTCGCGTTCAGCGTCCTGGGGCACGTGCTCAGCCACGCCTGCGCGGACGAAGGAGAAGATGCCCGGGAGATCGCGGCGTGCACCAAGTGTGGCGCCTACAAGGAGCTGGGCGGACACGCAGGAGGCAGGTCTCGCCTGAAGATGCAATGCCCAGGGCCCAGCAACATGACCAACAAGTCGAGGGACCAGCGCAGCCTGTGGGAGCGAGGGCCCCACCCTGGTGGCAGGCCTCGGCGGGGCAGACAGAGGGCGAGAGCAGAGGGCATCCCTGCCTTGCGCTCGCACGGACCAGTGCCAGGTCACGCCCAGGAGCGGTGCCTGGAGTGGGCCGGCATGGAGGCGGAGCCGACTGGCGGAGCCTCCACCGCGGCCAGCAGTTCGGGCAGCGGCCCAACGGCTCCAGCGGCAGGGCGGTATGTAGTTGAATCGGCGGCGGCCAGCCTGCCCCAGCAGCGGCCAGGGCCGCGTGCTGGCCCCCTCGGCGCAGGCGGCGCCGTCGCGGGGGAGCCCGCTGCCGCGGAGCCAGCGCCCAGCGACGGACTGGTGGGCCGCAGGGTCTGCCGCCGCCTGGCGCGCCGCGGCTCCGAGTCGTCTGGGAGTGAGTGAAGACACTCCCGCTGTCTGCCCGCGTCTGTTGCTCCTGTGTGAGTAGGCACGCGAGGCTCGCTTGCTTGGGACTCGGCGTCTCTCGGGAGTTTTGGTCTCGCCTGGCCCTGTCCCCGTTTTCCTTTTTGTCACCTTTCAGGCCCCGACTATAATTATATAACTATATACACACAGGAGCACGACAGAACACACAGGTTCACGGCAGAATTGACGGCCGAACACGCAGGAGCACGGCAAAACACACAGGAGCATGGCAGAGCATGCAGGATCACGAGGAGGTCGTCAGAACACACAGAGTACATAGGAGCACGGCAGAACACACAGGAATCCAGCAGAACACACAGACACGCACACACAGACACATACACACACACACACACACACACACACACACACACACGCACGCACGCACACACACACACACACACACACACACACACGCACACAGAGAGTCAACATACGTGCACGCAAACGGCACAGCAGCACGGCATAGCAGCACGGCATAACACAGCAGTGCCGCAGACCATCACGCACGGACGCACATGCACAGATTCCACATATCTGCGCGGCAGACCAACAAAATGGACAAAAACGACGTTTCCCGTTCTTGTCCGATCAGGTTCCTTTTCATCTTGTTGATATTCCTGCTCCATCCACCCTCGGGTGGCGCCGCGGAAAACGAAGAAGGAATGAGTGCAAAATGAGGGCGGAGAGGGGCAGGAAGTGAGGGTTCAAAAGAAGAGTGGACAAGGAGGAAAAGGAGGTGGATGGAGGGGGGAGGACAAGGAAGAGGAGGAGGAAAAGGAGGAGGAGGGGGAGGAGGAGGAGGAGATAGCTTCCGTGCTGCTGCTGCTGCTGCTGGTGCTACAAGTGCGCCTCGGCCGAACCGCCCTCGATCAAACGTCACCATGCTGTGAATCAGCTCCCGCTTCTGCACCCGAATCTGCTGATTCGGCATCCGACGGCGGAGCCAATGCCCCCTCCTCGCACACGACGCTTCCCGCGCGCTACGGCCCAGCCTTCGCACACCCCGACGAACGCCAAAACAAGATAGCTTGCACCTAGGGTGGAAAACATATTCATATCCACGGCCTCGCGGGCCGGGCCCCTGGGCTGCGATCCCATGGACACGGGGTGTTGTTTCGCGGACGCCCGCGCGGAACGCATTCCATGCGACCGCGTATCCGCGGGATCGGGCCTCGGCATCGAGCCCGCGAAGGCGTGGAGATGGATACGTTCGCTGGAGGCGGAGGAGGAGGAGGACTGCAGTAACAGAGTGAGCGGCGGGCGCGGGAGTGGGCCCCCCTACTGGCGCGCGTTGGCCGTGGGCTGGCCTCCTGCCTCCGCGGCTTCGCGGGCGAGATCCGGTTCTCACGCGCGCCCTTGGTCCGATCTTCTCCAAGAAGGGCCCGGTCGGCACCTCGAGCGCCCAGGGCTCACCGGTGAACCCTGTCGTGGGGACACGGCTCCCCCAACGGGCCTCGGGAGATGCTCCCAGGATCCCCGTCGCTTGCACGTGCTCTAATCCACTGCCCCGAGAGAACCTCGCTGGGGTTGCCCATGTGAGGGCGCTGCGTCACCCCCTTGCGGCGCCTCCGGCGCCGCCCCTGGCGCGCTACGCGCGCCAGGGAGGGGGTCCAGCGCCGATCCAAGACATCCGCGTGCAGCTCCGAATGTTTCTGCTTACAGTCAACCCGCATAATAACAACGATCAGCTTCCCAAAGGTACCCACATTCTTGCATCGTCGGTCATCTTCGGTCCATCCTTAACCACTTTCGATGGCCAGCCCCGCTCGAAGAGCCTCGGCATGGGCCTTCAAGGCCCTTTCATCCTTTCCGCGCATCCTTATTTTACAGGTTGACTGTATGCTGTGCGCTCTTCCTCTAACACCCACGGCCTTGCCCATGCGAGGTCCCTCTACCACTCAAAGGAAGTTCAGCTAATTCGAGCGATCCCCACCCGAGAACGCCAGGCGGGATCCCCATGGAGCAGCGGGCCCGATTGGGCCTGGCGGCGTCGTCATTCGTTGAAGACGCGAGGCGGGATGCCCAGAAAATGCCACCGAACGCCTGCGTGACAGTCAAGGCTCGGAGCTGCTCTGGAGGGGGTGGGGGAGGACGGACTACCCCTTCCCCTCGCCATTCCGTCCGTCTCCTTCGGTAGCCTTGGCATCGCTCGGACACGTGCATGCTTTCTCGGCGTAGACCATCGAGGAGCATCCTGTATCATCTTGCGAATCATACGCGCGAAGCCGAGACATGCGTGGGGAGTGGACGTCCGAGCGATGGCGAGTCCATGTCCTAGTAATTCCATCTTCAGCGTGCATTGGCGTGCGCTAGCGTGTGGTACTCGATGAGAGAGCGCCGATGATCGTCGATTTAGCGTCGGCTAGCGTGGATTACCGTCGGTCAGTGTCGATCCGCAAGAGCCAGCAAGATGGCACGGCAGGCTTCCAATAATTGTTTCCGAACTCTCCATCCCCCGAGTTCCGCAGGCAGGTGCCAGCTGTTGGCAGTTTCACGTATGGCTCCTTGCGTGTTGTCCAGCCCTGGCGCGCCTCTGGAGGCCCCTGGAGGCACAGGATGCTCAACCATTGTCTCCTTCCCCGTCCCCCTTTCCCATCACCTTTTGGCATCGCTCACAAGTGTGTTCCCGGCGGAGCCGGGTGAAATTCCGTGCGCACCGGTGATTGACTGATTAATTGACTGAACGTCAGGAGGGCACCTTGAACAACACATTTCGAACCGCCCGCGGACGCGCAACCGCAATTGGGCGACAAATTTCGACCCGTCCGCGGGCGCGCAACCGCAACCGCAACGACGCGACACATTTCAACCCGCCCGCTGGCGCGCAACCGCAACCGCAACTGGGAGACACATTTCAACCCGCCCGCGGGCGCGCAACCGCAACCGCCACCCGGCGACACATTTCAACCCGCCCGCGGGCGCGCAACCGCAACTGGGCGACACATTTCAACCCGCCCGCGGGCGCGCAAGCGCAACCGCACCTGGGCGACACCTTTCAACCTGCCCGCGGGCGCGCAACCGCAACTGGGCGACACATTTTAACCCGCCCGCGGGCGCGCAACCGCAACCGCGACTACGCGACACATTTCGACCCGCCCGCGGGCGAGCAACCGCAACTGGGCGACACATTTCAACCCGCCCGCGGGCGCGCAACCGCAACCGCAACTGGGAGACACATGTCAGCCCGCCCGCTGGCGCGCAACCGCAACTGGGCGACACATTTCAACCCGCCCGCGGGCGCGCAACCGCAACCGCAACTGGGCGGAACATTTCAAACCGCCCGCGGGCGCGCAACAGCAACCGCAACTACGCAACACATTTCAGCCCGCCCGCGGGCGCGCAACCGCAACCGCACCTGGGCGGCAAATTTCAACCCGCCCGCGGGCGCGCAAGCGCAACTGGGCGACACATTTCAACCCGCCCGCGGGTGCGCGACCGCAACCGCGACTACGCGACACATTTCGACCCGCCCGCTGGCGCGCAACCGCAACCGCAATTACGCGACTCATTTCGACCCGCCCGCGGGCGCGCAAGTTCAACCGCAACTGGGCGACACATTTCAACCCGCCCGCGGGCGCGCAACCGCAACCGCCACCCGGCGACACATTTCAACCCGCCCGCGGGCGCGCAATCGCAATTGGGCGACACATTTCAACCCGCCCGCGGGCGCGCAACCGCAACCGCACCGCTCACTTGCCGGCCTTTTCCAGGGGATCTGAAGCGGAGGGAAGGAGGTGTGAGGGAGGGAGGGAGGAGGGAGGAGGGAAGCGAGAGGGAGGAGGAAGGATGAGGACGAGGAGGAGGAGGAGGCCGAAAAAGAGGGGAAGGAGGCGCAAGAGGAGAACGGTGAGGGTGAAGGAGGGGGGCAGTGAAGACGGAAAGGACGGGCAGGAGGAGGACGAAGAGGACAGGGAGCAGGCGAAGGAGAAGGATGATCTGGTGCAGGAGCAGGTGGAGGACGAGGGGGAGGAGGACGAGGAGGATGTAAGGGAGGAGGAGGAGGAGGAGGAGGAGGAGGAGCAACAGCACGAAGAGGAGGAGGAGGAAGACGATGAACAGGAGGAGGAGGGGGACCAGGATGGCCAGGAGGAGGAGGAGGAAGATGGGGAGGGGGATGCCAGAGTGGTGCTGCTTGAGAAGGTGCACGAGCAGGTGCTTGTTTCGGAGGACGGAGGAAGATGAGGTGGTGGACGTCAATGAGGATATGGACGTGGAGGTGGATGTCCTCCTCGCGGCCTCGGGCGTGACCCGCGGTTCTCCGCCGGGACACAGCAGCGGGGAATCCCCATTCCACGCTGCTGCCTCTGATTGTTTGCTCTTTTGACTCATCTGGTGGAGAATATGCGCACGGAACCAAAGAATGCACGGGGAATGGACGTCCGAGCGATGACGAGACCCTCCGTCAAGGCCTCCGTCTTCCTTGGCTTGGTTTCTGACCGCATGCTCCCGCGAGAAAGCGGCCTGCACTCCGCGGCGGCCTTTATGCCGCCACATCGGCAATATATCATGTACGTCACGACATTTCGACTAGGACCGGACTGCTCTTCATGTTCAGTTTTCTTGCTGGTTCGGTCTCTTCCGGGAAGACGATTGTCGTCGATAATCATTTGTCCCCCCGAAAACCCAGGGGGATCACAGATGAACGAATGGACGGGAGGGTTTTCGACGCTCCCTGGTTGTGCACAGGCTCCCCGTGCATGTTTCAAAGCTCCATTGCGCAGCTGGCGCGCAGGTCGCCTTAGGATGCGATTCCTGGGAGGTACTCTCGCTTGCTCCAGCCTAGTCCTGTTCAGTCCCGCCTCATCCCGTTTTGTCTGGTTTATTCCCGTGCCTAATCCGGCCTAGTGTGGCTCAGCGGTTTCGTAATCTAGCCGCCATCGTTGTCACTTAAGAGGCGTACGCCGTTCCGCTGACACCCTGAGGGAACAAATTTTACGGGTGACGCTTTCGTGTGGTTCTTGCGGATCCTTTTG